AGGAAAAGAAAGAAAGTGAAACGTAATGTTTTGTTGGCGAACGTTGGGCATTCGTATGGGAATGAACGATTCCACTTGTCCGGTTGGAACTAATGAGTAATAACTGTCGATTGACCATTTGAAACCAGTTGTGAGCTCCCTTCGGCACATCCCGAAGCCAGGGTACGGTCTGGCACCGCGAAGTCACACCTTCTCCTCGACCGGCGGTTCTGTATCTGCTCTCCCTGTAAGTCTTGCACAATCGCGTCACAATCGACGAAACCAATCTCTTGCACCTGTTGCTGAATATTTTCAAAATGCTCTAGAGACTTTTATTCTTACCATTATTATTCTTATTCTTATTGTTACATTATTAATGTATCTGCTATATTATATATAATATATTCATATGTTATATATAGTATACGTGTGTGTATATATGTGTATACGTATATAGATATATACATATATATGCATATATGTCTACCTATATTTATATAACACACGGTAAACGAAGATCATTCCACGTTTTCACCGCTAAAATGTACGCTTTTCTGTCGTCTAGGGTGATTATTCGTTCAGTGGGATGGGAGACAAGACGCACAGCACTGATTTCTCCTCTGGCAAGTCAGATAGTGAGTAACCAAAACCGAAAACAGAACGAAAAGAAACACGGAAAGGACCGATATTATCGATCACGTTATCTTGGCCCACCGTTTCTTACTTCTACTCGCAGTTACCTATCGTATTTCCGACCTCTTTTTGTACATGCTTCTTTATTATTTATTATCTATTATTTATTATTTATTATTTTCCTTACGAAGTAGAGTGCTCGTGGGAATCGGCGAACCGTGTGCCACGAGCACGAGAATTTTCACTGTCTTCCTCTTTTTCTTCTTCTTCTTCTTCTTCTTCTTCTTCTTCTTATTTTTATTCTTATTCTTCTTCTTATTCTTCTGTTCTATTTTTATTTCTTTTCTCTGAGTCTTCCGATCAATTTACTTGGATCACAATCTCGGCTTTAATACCTGAGCATGCCTGACTAAAATGCATCCTTGCTGAATCAAACGTACACACGTACACACGTACACACGTACACACGTATTCACACACACGACCACTCATTGAACACGAGACATCGTCATCGTTCCATCGTACGATCGTTGTCCCGCCATCGGGATCCGAGGTACGGTGCCATTTTAGATCGCGAATTGCATAAGAATCGCAGACTGTTATGATCATTAACCGTGCCGGATGGATTTCTAGCTGCTCGTGACGGTTGTCCGTAGCGCGATGAACGTCACTACATGCGATACGTGCCTTGAGGATATGTTTTGATCGTTGAAAGCTGCCACGTATCATGTAGCTTTTTTAGTGGACTCAGGTCATATGTTGTACAATACGATCATCCGACATTCGCTTTATAGTGATTTAATCGGATCAATTGTGCTCCTTTGATGGCCGGGATCGATCGTGAGACGTTCCAGTCGTTTCACCGTTTAAAGATAGTGCCGTTCAACGATGCGACGTATGGCAAAAATCTATTATCGCGCTATAAATTCTATTCGGTTTTAATGTAAATATTTCGAATGGCTGAACGTTGAATATATCGAGCTTTAACGAAATGGAATATTTCCCTTGAACAGTCGATTGTACAGACATTTTGGAAATTTGTATTCCTCGCGACGAAAGGGGCACGATCGATCGGCGAGCGAAAGATTGTTACTTAACATAACGAAATGGTTTGTGCAACATGGTTTGACATGGTTTTTTTTTCTTTCCCATTTCTTCCCGAATTTTAGTATCGACAGGCAGCATCACGGATGTGGATCGACGGGCACTGGTATGTACCACAGCCCCATACTACTCCCGGCGAATTAGCATGGTTTGTAGCTTGTTATTTTGCATAATCTGATTTACCGAATTTTTAACCGCATTTTTCAGTCGCGTTTTAGATAATTAAGTAATGAGAGACCGGGCGAAGAGTCCGCGCGAGTCGAGCACACGGACGCGAGAACTAATGTATCTCACACACGGGGCCGTTTTCACGAAGTACAGAAATTTGTACATAATTTCATTAAATAGTTTCTAGTCCGTCAGCTGTCCGCAATGTAAAATATCTTTTGTACATAATATATAACAGCCGTTGTATATTGTTTTGCGCATGCCTGCTGTACATTTGCTGCAATTACATTTTTCATTTATTTCTCTATTTTTTGGTTCTCTTTTGATTTTATTTTTTTAATCGATCGATTAATTTGCATTTTATCGTTACCTTTAGTTTTTTTGCCTTGCAAAGTTTCTCGCATATTTGACTTTATCGAGTACACACACACACGATTGATCGGAAATCGATGAATTCGACATGGTTTTGCGCTTCGATGATTTGCAACGTTTTCCGTAGAGCTTAAAGAGAACACGATTGATGCAATTTTCCGCTGCAACGTTAACACACGATGCGAGTTTCCCGCATAGGATGCGTCGTTGAAAGTTTCACGGGGAAATTGATCGATCTTGCTGAGTTTTTGAAACTGTTGCGCCGAAAACGCGAGACGCGTGTTCGCGGTGCTGGTCTTCTTATTAACTGCATTCGCAACTGCATCCTCTGTGCATTTATAACGGAACGGAGAGAAGAACGGAACTATGGTCTAAACTGAACAATTTCTCGATTTTCTTCTGCATGATGCGCACGTTTGCGCGTGTCGTGGCGTGGTTGCTTCTTATGTACGTATTCTCTGGCCCGCACTCGTGTCCGATCGAAAAGCGACCGATCCGTGGCGAATAGTGTACGATCATGTAAGTTTCTCACAGAACACTGCACGTACGGTTCATTGACTGCGTGGTGTTTCGACAATTAATCGTTTTAAAGATGCCAGTTCCCATCGCTCGTTTCAGTCTAGCTATAGTTCTGTCTCGGTCGTCTAGAACCGTTACACACCGGCCACGACGACGGTGCGAACTGTTTTGCATAAACGCGTCGTTTTACGAACATTCGCTGATTCTTCCTTTATTTTTCCCTTTTTTTGCTGCAACGTTCAGCCTTGCCGACGGACGGCGATCCGTCGCGATGTGACGAGAAAGGGTCTCGCGCGGGATCGTGTTTCCTCGATTCGAGATCACTCGGTTTCAAGCCTGGAAATCTTATTTCGAGAAAGAAAAAACTTTTCGCCGACACGCTAATTACTTGGGACCTTTCGAAATTAGCCGATCGAGATAAAAACTCCGGAACATGTTGTTTCCCGTGCGAGACGCTTTATTTAATTAAGTGCACTGCTATTAACTTCCGTTGAATGGTATAACGATTATTGGAATTAATGTGTGAATCGTGCTTCAGAATGATGGTGGAATGCTCCCATCATCCACCACATATACAGGTGGCCTAGGTTCGGTGGTCGGAAGTCACGGGGGCCATCATGTGAGGAGATCGTTGCCGGACATGGGTACTGCGCCATCCGAACCACCGAAACTCTATCCATATCACTTACTTGTCATCACTAACTATAGGCTGCCCGCCGACGTGGATCGTTGCAACCTTGAGGTGAGTAATTGCACCCGATAATTGATATCCGCGGAATTAATCTATGCAATTACGCGCAACTCGCCGCGTAAACTGTGTTTTCAATGAGAAATTATTCACGGCTGTCAAACGTAATCATACACCGCCGGTTTTTCTACTAGCAACCGGTCCAGAGAGATGTTGATTTACTCGAGTTTTTCTTCGAGCCGCTTTGTTACCTGTTAGCGAATTACATTCAAATTCCATGCTCCGAACTGCAAAGTCGAGGTTAAATCGGACCGTTCAGAACGAAATTTTACACTGTCGCTTAGAAGTGTTTCATCATTTTCATTGAAAATATCGGATTAGTAGAAACCACCTATAGATACAGGGACACATTTTGAAGAATTCCTCACGGTACGCAACACCGACGATCCCAGATCCAAAGAATCAGTTCCTCTTCATCCAACCATCCAACTACACTATTCGAACCAACGACGATCGAGAAGAAACACCTACGTGCATTTGGCAAATACAATGACAAAAGCACCTTCGAAGAAATAACAATGTACCCGGATCAAAGAAGGCACAGTCCCCACTAACGTTTCGAAACTAACAGAAAACCTGCCTCGATGAAAAGAAATCCAAAGAATCCGGAAGCTCGAAAGCGAGAAACAGGATCGTAGAAGCCATAGGTTGAAATCCGTGAAAATTTTCTTTTCCAGCGACACCTTTCAGACGCGGAATTCGAGGCAATCCTGCAGTGCAGCCGCGCAGAGTTCTACAGAATGCCGCAGTGGCGTCGCAACGAGATAAAGAGACGCGCCCGGCTGTTCTAACCGGCCACGGGCGCACCGCTCGTCCGCATAATAGCTTCGCCGTATCACGAGCGTGTTGCCGTGGTATCGAGTGTACATTCCTTGGCCGCGCGTCAGGTGGACAGCCGCGAGAAGAGGAACCGTTGGTCCACGGGTGACCCGTGGATCCGCGACGGGGATCCACCGCCATCGAACCGACTCGCGCGATCACGCGTGCACACTGGCGTCGAGCGACACGCAGAGGCAACAGGAAACAATCGAGCACTGCCATTTGTCGTCAATTCTGTTCTCTCAGCAACGAATCCACAGGCAGCTTTTCTCGAACTGGACGGAATCACGCACGAGAGCCCTCATCATCATCCCCCCTGTGACTTCGGTGCTTCTTCCGGGAGAATCGTCGCCGTTCTGTAACGTTGCCTCGTCGTTTCTCCGAGTCAACGTTGAAAGTAGAACCCAAGAAACGAAACCATAGAAACGTTCGGCCGAAGAGGATGTTCGAGAGGTAGCCAGCTCAACGACGATAGCTAACCGTCGTCTAAATAATTATTGTTTTTCACGCGGAATCAAAGTGGTGATTCGCCGGTGATAATGAAAGAAAAAGAGTTCTAACGGAATAGATATATTTCAAATGGTATATCGTATTATGATGCCGTCGACGCGCACCACAGAGACTATTTCTTTCCTGTATCAGTTTAGCTATGTAATCC